CGGCCCCCTCCCCCTCGCCCCGCCGCGGGCACGCCTCCCCTCTCCCCTCTACCTTTCCAGCTCACGCTTTGCGCACGCGCGACGCAGGTTGCCTGCTCCCCCCGCCTCCCTCCCGCATAGCCTTCTGGGAAACGTAGTCTCGGCGCTGGTGGCGCTGCCTAGCGAGCTGGCCGCGAGCGCCCTTCCGAAATGCACGCTTGCGGGGGGAAGAGAGAAGACCACCGCCCCGGCATCTCCCCTCTTAACCCTTGGGCACACATCCTTTGTGCTGCCGGTTCACTCTCCCGAGCTCACCGCACACACGCCCCGGCCCCAAACCTCCGTCTGCCCAGACGCCCCCTCGTAGCCGTGCGTCCGCCCGCTGGCTGGCGCCCCTTCCCGGGCTGGCGGCCGCGAAGCGACTCGGCTCCCCTGTAGATCGAATGGGGTAGGTGCAGGGAGGTGGGCGCTGTGAATCAGAAGGGCAAGGGGAGGGAGTCTGTAGGATGTGCTGAAGGACACAGGGGTGGGAACGGGGGAGGGCCTCGGCTCCCTTGTCGTGCCTCCTCTGTGGGAGAGCCACGCTGCTCTGATGCAGAGCAGACGGTGGAGCGGCGTTGTCTGGGTTTGGGAGGACCTGGCTGAGCGGACCAAAATCACCTGTCAGGATGACAGAAGGCTGTCTGCCAGCCAGAGCCAGCCCCGGAACTGGGGTGGCCCCGGGGCTGCTAGTGTTTGCGGCATCTCTGCTGATCCGTCTCTCTCCTCCTGAGAACTGCGATCGATACCCTGTACCGCCTCTTCCCAAACCCTGGCTGGACTCTGACTCCATCTATTACTTTGGCTTCTTTTTCGAATGAATATTTTCTCTGCTGGAAGGGCTGCTACCGAAGCCTCGGCATAGGGAGATTTCTCATCAGACCTGTCATTTTCCTTGCTAAGATCTGGAAAGTACCTTAATCATCCACCTTTCTTCTTCTCAGCCTCGCACAATCAAGAGACAAAAGTCCCCCAATCACATCAGAAAAGAAATACTAATCCTCTTTCCCCTCCTCAGCCTTTCACAACTCACCTCCACACTCGTCTATTTAGCTAAGGAGAAATCAAGTTTTGAAGCAAGTAAGCCAAGGTCTATGACTTCAAGACCTCAGACTTTCTTCTCCTTTTCATCTAGAGAAGGTTTGAGTACTTCAAGGATAATCTCTGAGGGTAGGGGTTCTTAACCTGAGAGCCACAGATGATCGCTGGGAGGTCCAGGAACCTGGTGAAACGGAATGTACGATTGTGCCCAAGAGTGTTTCTCTAGGGAATGTAAATGTAGTGTGTGACTATCTGAAGGGTAATCGAGGTACAAGTTTGTTCAGCAAGAACCTTATAGTTTAGAGAGTGAAGCATATGGTTCTCAACTCCCAGCAGGAAGCTTGTTTGGGTCACAGATGGTAGGAGAGCAAATGAAAACAGCCCCGTGGAAGCCACTCTCTCTCACCTTTTGAGCTTGCTTCATATTTGCTAATGAGTTCCACTTACTTTGGACTAATTGGCTGCCACCAAAAGAGGAGATGTCACCAGACTGAGGTCTGCCGGGAACAACTGCTCAACCAGCAGATTCCATCGTTTGGGGCACTGAGTGGAAAGAAGTGGAATGGTATCTTGGTGGAGATGCTGATATTTGTCTAAGAACTCAAAGCAACAAAGAGGAAGAGGAAAAAAAATCCCCTGGAGGGCTCCAGTCTTAGCTCCTTCATGGCAAATACTCGCAGCACTGTTTATTCAAATGTGTAATAACAAGCACCAGAAAACAACATGCAACATACTCTCCCCACCCCTGATCCACAATCCCAGAAATAGGAGCTCATGACCCTGAGAGTGGAGAAAACTCATGTCCAGGAAAGGCCTCTTTGTGGGCACCTGGCAGGGTTAGAGTCTACTGTAGCAGCTGGAGAAACCAGACACCTTCTTCTACCTCGGGCCCTACTAGGCAAAGTGGTGATGCCAGCCCTGGTTGGAGGGGACATGAGTCCTGTGAGGCACTTGGCCCAGTGCAGCCCTGCAGAGGTAATAAGGTGAAGTGGCCTTTCCTCTTAGGGAGGCCATGGAGAGAGGCCATAACCTAAATCAAGGCTCTTCTGACTGAGAACAAGATAGTCTCTTGAGGAGAGGGAGAAAGAGGCTTCCCTGATCTAGAGAGAGTTCTGGGCTGGAAGTCTTTGGCAGGCGTGAATATTCCCACCCCCACCCCCTTTCCCTAGCTGAAGGGCCAGTTGCTAACTTAGGCCCCCAAATGAGAACACTATCTAGCACATTTCAAATAAATTATAAATACAGACACAGAATCCAAACAAAGTTCCAATAGAAGCTGCTCACAGACCCCCACAGGGGCCGGCCTGAAGAAAAATAAAGATCACCCCTTGTTCTCTGTGTCTCTGGAGCTGAAGGCAAATCTGTCCCCCCTTGTCATTGAATAACCATGGGGACAGCTCAGGACAGAGAGTCTCAGACTTAGAAACACTCTCACCCCATCTCCTTTCCACCCTCCTCAAACTTTTTCCCCAGAATCTAAATAGAAAACAAAAACCAAAAACCTAATTCTTTCACTGAAGGACTCTGGAACATTTGGGGATCTAAATGTCACTCTTCCCCTATCACATGGGAAAGTTGACCCAAAGAGGAAATGACTGGCATGAAGTCAAAGGTCCTGATTCCCAAGCGCCCCAGTAATACACAAGTTACTCTAGGTGGTGTTTACAGAGGTGAGGAGGTGGAAGAGGGTTGACTCCGTCCTGAGGAGAGACTGGCACAGGGCCCATTCACCTTTGGGATGCTAAGTGGGCCAGTTGGCACTGGATTGGAAAGTGGTTGGATTCTTCTCTCTTCATCCTTCCCTGGGAAGCCCTATGACCAGGGCAGAGTGAGGTGTATTGAGCTGGGTGGGAGGCAAATGGTCCTCACCGAGACAGCAGTAACTCTCAGACTGGGAGCCCAGGGATGGACTGAAGGAGGTAGCGGGAAGAGGAGACATACCAAAGACAAATATGGAACTGGGTCCCACAGTGAAGAAGCACCAATCGCATCGGCCTGCCCTGGACTGGGGAGAGGATAGAGCCTGAGAGAAGTGAGAACGCAAAGGAGGAAGGGGAGGGCAAAGGAAGAGGGCACACCCTATTGTCAAGATGAGAAGGGGACGTCTGAAGGGACCAGAGAAGAATGGGAGGGGGGACTGAGCAGGAAGTATGGAAGAAATGGGCCCATCTATCCACGCCCTGGGCTCTAGGACAGCTCTGCCTTTGACGGTCCTTGGGGCCCTTCCAGAGCCCCTTTCTGGCCCCACAGGAATAAAAGGAAGGCCTAGTCAGATTCCAGAAAGGATCTTGAATGCCTCAGACCCATGAGGCTGGGGAAGGGAGAGGGACAGGGAGGCCGGGGGGAGGGGTGGGTCCTAGACTTTGCATCTTGCATCCCAAGCGTGAGACCAAGCCCGAGAAGGAGGCCAGGAAGGACAGGAAAGAGTTTTGAGGGTAAGTGGAGTTTAGAGTGTTGGCGGAAAGTGCCCCAGCCTGGTGAGTGGGAGGACTAAGAGGATCGAAGAAACCGATTTTGCCAGCAAGTTTACTGGCTTTAGTTTTCTTTTTAATTTTTTGATTCTTTTTTGTAGAGATGAGGTCTCAGTGCGTTACTGAGGCTGGTCTTGAACTCCTAGGCTCAAGCAATTCTCCCGCCTCGGCCTCCCGAAGTGCTGGGATTATAGGCATGAGCCACCATGCTCCACCCCAAGGCTTTAGTTTCTTGAAGCTGCAACTCAGTTGCAATGTATCTGCTCCCAGCTGAGTCCAGGCCTAATCAGGACCCTTTAAAGGACAGGGAAGCCAGTCGGCTTCCCTGGCTCACACATGGTGTGAGCCCTGAGAAAACAGTGGGAGGCACACTGAGCTCTGGGATGATGAGATCAGACACAGGGACTAGATGACAGTCACTGAGGAGAGGTCACCAAGCCACTGTTTGTTGGGGCCTCCACACAAGGGACCAGGGGCTACTGGCTGATTTCCCCTCCCCCCACTATTATTGAAGTTGGACAGGTTGATATAAAGGTGGATGTCAGGAGCCAGTCTCAGGGCTGGTTTCCTGCCCTCAACCCCCACCTGCAGCAGAGGCTGGTTCTCAGAGTCTGTGAGGGTACAAGTTAGACCCCAAGTAAGAACCTGGATCCAGGGAGTGGACAAGAAGCACTGAGCTTCCAACCATGGTTCCAGCAAAAGAGGGAGAGGAAGCCACCGGAAGGTCTGCCCAGGTCTCCCACAGCTGATGCCTGCCCATCCGTGTGTCAAAGCTCAGAGCCCAGAGTAATGGGGGAGAGGAATTGGGGGGGGAGGGAGGTCCTGGAAGCTGGAGGTGGTTGAAGAGGTGCTGTCCAGTTCAGGAGCCAGGTGGGGCTGCTTACTGCTTCTCCACCGCTCCCTGCTCAGCTGTGCTCTCCTGGTTGGGACCCTGGCCCTGGTCCTGGCCCTGTCCATGCCATGGGGTCTCCTTGAACACAAACCAACAGTTCCCGGCCCACAGGAAGAAGTTGATAAAGCCAAAGAGCTGCAAAGACATCAGGGAAGCATGTGAGAATAGTGAGGGAGGCATCATGGGAACGGGGTGGGGGGTCCTGTGGCGGGGGCAGGGGGCAGGAGAGAGACACAAAGGGCTAGGAAGACTAAACGACAGAGAGCTGTCGGTAGAGGCAGGGTTCAAGGCCATGAAGGGAATCCCCAGCGAAAGTGTCCAGCTCTGCCGCAGCATGCGCCCAAGATGGAGCCCGGTGGGGAGCAGAATCTGGCTGTGGGGCGGAGCGTCTTGCAAAGCTCAGCCAGAGTCTGCCTGGAGTCCGCGGTGACACTTCCCACAACACAAGCAGGGGCCCTGCCGGCCGGGTGGGTGTGGCCGGAGCTGTCCAAGGTGCTCCTTCCTGACGAACAGGGACCCAGCCGGGGCTACATCCAAATGTTTTTTCAAAATATTAAAAAACTCTAACAGCAAGAAGTAACGGGGATGTGTAGTGACACCGTCAATTAACTTTGAAATGCACAGAAAACAGGACGGGTTGATGGGTGGAGAGGCTTGTGATAAAGCAAGTTCAGTAAGTGCTGATGTCAGTCTCTTTGGTGAGTATGTGGGTATTCACTGTGAAATTCTTTCAACTTTGCTGTATGTGTAAGCATTTTTACAATACATTGTTGGAGGGAGAAACCTATCCGAAGGGTTCCAGCAAGTTCCAGAAGTGTGTTCCTGGTGCGCCAGCCATTAAACCCTTCAATGTGGGCCTCCAGGAGGTCCAAGTCATTTTCAGAGTAGGTCTGAGGTGGCTGGATGACAGGCAGCATTCAAGAAGCCCAAGGCCTCAGCCATTTACTGACAGATATGGACACATTTCAGTGTTCTAACTGGGATAGCCAAACCTATGTGCAGCCAGCTGACCCACCGCCACCCCAAAGCCCCTCTCCAGGCTGGAAAGCTAAGCGACGATGAGCCCCTTCACACTTGCTCTGGGTCTACCCCAGCTCTGAGGCAGCCACAACCCATGCTCCCCGTCATGGATCACATGCGTACACTCACACACAGGAAACCAGGCAGGGGGAGCCGGAGGCATCAAACTGCATGCCCAGAGGGAGGACAAGAAGTGGGAGGCAGAATGCACAAGGAGGAAGAAGCAGGAGGCGAAGTGGCTCTTGGCTTCCTCTCATCCCCAAGTGTCTTCCCAGGGTCAGCCAGGGGCCAGCAGCCAGCATCAGCGCAGCAGGAGCACCGATTCCAGGTACAAGGGACGCTAGCTCTGGGGACACCTTTTCTGTTCCTCTCAAGACCTGCGAGCTGGGATAAGCTTGGGCAGCTGGGACAGCGCTGCCTTCCCCAGACCCCTTCGGTGGCCACAGGTCTCACCACGGAGATGTTGGCCAGTCCCATGGAGGGTGTGGCCCCGGCACTGCACACTGCTTCCTCCCCATGGCACACGGACATGGCTGCTGTCAGGCTGGATGGCCGTGTGGCCCCCTTGACATCGGTCAGGCCCTTGCCCCAGGCAGCAGCAGCTACCAGCCAGAAGAAGGTGAAGGAGACAGTCACACAGAAGTCCTGGGAGAGGTAGAGGGATGGGAAATGCACTCAGAAAGGCCCTATGGTTTCCCATGCCTTCTCTTGCCATGACACAGTAGAATCCCGGGGTCCCAGGCTAGCCGCCTCTTCCCATCCCACCCAGCACTTAGAGCCCAGTTCATCAGGGAAAGCAGGGGGAACCAGATGGTCCTGAGGAAGCTGTTTACTGCTATCCAAGGAGTCCTGCCACCCCCCATGTCCTCAAATCGAAGGTCCAGCGACAATGTGCCAAGGCATCTGCTGGTCAGCCTCACCCCAAGACCCACCCACGCCAAGAGTGGAGCCTAAGCTCCCCACTCTTCCCTCCCAGCTTTTCCTCTGATCACCATTGCTCAGCTACACATGGTGGCAGAGGGCAGACTTCAGGATGCAAATGGGGGTCCCTTAAGGCACCCCTTCCACCTGGCATGCTTGGGGTAGGGAGAGAGTTAAGGGGAACAAAATTAATAATAGCTGAGGTTAACTAGGTACCATACACTCTACAAGCAATCTCATGTTATCACCAAAGACAAAACACAAAATACCCATGAGGCAAGTATTCTTTTATCCCCATTTTATAGTTGAGGAAACTGTGATTCAGAGAGGCGAAGTAACTGTCCCAGATCACAGCTAGAAAGGGACAGTACTGGGACTTGAACCCAGGCAGTCTAACTCCAGAGCCTGCTTCTCTACGCCACTACTGTGCCTCCTGTGAGCAGGAGCAAGTGACGGGAGGTGGGTGGAGGCAGAGGTTCCACACCTCCCTGTGTCCTTGACCCAGGGAAGCCACTGTGTCTGTCCTCCACCCATTCCCTCTGGCCGGCCTCACTCACCACCAGTGGGAAGCGCCTGTCCTCCGTGTAGAGGGCGTGGAAGCGCAGGTAGAGAACCAGAGCCAACATAGTATAGAAGAAGGAGAAGATGCCAAGGGTCACAAAGAACTCGGCGGGGGCAGAGAAGTCCCCCATGAGGTGCATGGTCTTGGAGGTGGACTCTTCATCACAGAAGGGCATTTCATACTCGACCCGGTGCAACCTGCAGTGGCACAGGAAGCCATCCTGAGCTCAGGCGGTCCTCGCTCCCTGCCCCAGGGGTAGTCCTGGACCAGTTCTCACCCTGGGATTTTCCAGGGCCCAGCAAGGAGTCACCGAGGGAGCAACATTTCTGGAGGGAACCTCGCAGTCAATTCAGGAGCTTTCCCAAGATTCCAGTCAAACCTACCTTTCCTTCAGCCACCACCCAAACCTCCACCCTGCCTGGGCACAGTGACCATATATTCCCAATTCCCTTGGGGCCCTTTGGGTCACAAACACAATATATGTAGCTCTTGTAGCCAAACCACCAGGCAGGTAGCTGCATTCTGCCCCTGGAAAGCACAGGACCAGAGCAACCAAGGTCAGGTTGAAATCACCCATTCTCAGGCCTCATATAGGTTCTCCAATGAGACACTGGAGAAATTAAAGAGAAAAACACAGCCTATCATATACAAGAGATCATTTATCTAACTTGGATGCCAACAGTAGAAATTTCTGGACACTTGGGCTCCCACCCTCCTAAGCTCTCAGATAACCGGGAAGAGTGTTCTCTTGTGCCTCCTAGTCAAGGTGTGCCCACTTGTATTCTGGTGTTACAGGTGAACACTCCACATCAACTCTAGGATCTAAGTGCAAATAAGCCTCCTTACTTTGAGAGCAGAGAGGAGGCTGCTGAAGGTCAGGGGGACCTTTCCAGACTCCTGTAAGTCTCCATGCCAAACTGTATGGGTTCTTTCTGTATGCACGGCTGTGACCGACTATTGCTTGTCCATGGAATGGAATGCTATTATAACAATGATCTACCTGTGTTTCCCTTCTGTTTTGCTCTGGTCACCATGCCTAAAGTTGCTCAAGGGCAGAAAGGACCCAAGTCTTATCATTCTATTTGAGTCTGCAACGGGACACAATAAACGTTCTTTAAGTTTCTGAAGCAGGTCTGGCCAATCTAGCAGGAGAGGTCATGCCAGGTTAGAACCCATCCCTGCTCACCTGAAGGGATAGCCGAATGAAACAATGATGGAGCTCACGTCCTTGGCTTCGTTGTTGCAGCGAACCATGGCTCCTGTCTCCCCGCTGTAGGAACCGCAGGACCCGAAGGCGAAAATAGCAAAGAGCTGAGAGAGAGTGAAGCCCCTTTGAGAGTCAGAAGGTCTCAACTGGCCAGCGTAAAGAACCACCCCCTGAACTCCAGCAGGTGCAGGTATTGAAGGCAGAAGTGGAGAAGGGTGAGGTTTCCCTTTCACCAAGTTCCTTCTGGGTAGAGACCCATGGCTTCCAGTTGTCTTCCAGCCTCAGGATGCTGTGCTCACTGCACAGGGTGCTGAACCAAATAGCCAAACTATAAGGCTGACTTTGAGAGTGGTGTGTGAGAGGGAGATGAGACAGGAAGTGGGCAGTTTCCAGGTCTCCCAATTGGGCATGAGATTGGCGACCTTAAGATGATGACTGCCGGGCATAGTGGCTCATGCCTGTAATCCCAGCACTTTGAGACGTGAAGGTGAGAGGATTGCCTGAGCCCTGGGATTCGAGACCAGCCTGGGCAACTTGGTGAGACCTCGGTTCTACAACAAATAAAAAAAAAATTAGCCAGGCGTGGTGGCACGTGCCTGTGGTTCCAGCTACTTGGAAAGCTGTGGCAGGATTGCCTGAGTTCAGCAGTTCGAGGCTGCAGTGATGGTAAGCATGCCACTGCACTCCAGCCTGAGCAACAGAGTGAGATGCCAACTCAAAAAAAAAAAAAAAGATGACTAACACAAAACCTCTGCAGCTCAGGCTTTGGGGAACTTCTAGTGCAAAGGTAGACTTGAATTTCCTCCCCAGGGGAGGGGTACCCTCAGAAACAGCATCTGTGAACCAATCTAGCTCAGGCATGCCTAGAACTCTCTCATTTCTCCTTTGAACTGGTCATCTAATCTTGTTTCCTTGTTGCTAACTTCCAGTGGCTTCCTGCCTCAGTGGAGTATAGCTGGAGGGGATGACTTCTACCCTGCCCACAGAGGGACCACATGAGACATTGGACATGGTACTGCCAGCCTAAGTCTTCTTCTCCCGAAGGCATATTGCCTGCCGGCAACAGTGCTGGTTGGGCTGACTGTCTTGGCTCAAACTCAGAGGAAAGTCCATTCCACTTGCCTTATCAGTCTCCACTGTCACCCCACTGGTGTCTCCCCTTGTCGTCTGTCAATGCTGCCATTTCTCAGTATTAAGAACCAGTGTTTCAGGTTACTTGCATTGTTTTCTCTTCCACCTGTCATCACATCTTACTACACCTCCTGTCTTGAGTGAAAAAAAAAAGGCCTCATCTTATGACTTTCACATTTCTTCCTGGAAAACACACTTTAGTTAGAAAAGGAGGTGAGAAATCAGAATCTTTTATTCTCTCACATTATCTGCTCAGGCCCGGTTTCCTGTGCTCTTACGTTTGGCTTGTACACAATGTAATCATTCTTATTAAGCAGTGAGCTTATTTTGTTAATTGTTGATTTTCTGTATGTTTCTCTGTGACTCGGTATCTTGGACATTAAGCACCCAGACGACAACCTCTCTATACCCCAGTCTTGTTTCCAGAGTCTAGAACAGAGTTGCAAGCACTTTATTTTGCTAATGTTTGTCAGTGTTATGGAGTGAAAAGGGACTGGATCAGGGAGCTGGAAACCTAGGTTCTAGTCCTGGCCCTGCCACCCCTTAGCTAGGTTACCTCTGATAAGTCACTCTGCTCTGAGTCTCAGTTTTCTCCTCTGTAGAATGAGAGGCTTGAAGTAGATCACACAGAGGCCTTTTCTAGCTCTGGAATTCTCTCACTCTCTGAGGGTAATGCTGTCAGTGTGCTCTTGGCTGGGCTTGCCAACAGCTGTGCTCTGTCCCTGGGAGGTGTCCGGTGCCATCGCCCCGCCTTGCATCGCCTGGCAGATCTCCATGCTGGAGCCACTGACCTCTCTTTAAAGGTCATCATGGGCACCTCTCTGTTTCCAGGAGGTTATTCCGGACAAATAAGAACCGTATATGTTTAAAGACATCTGGGAAAGGAGACAGTACTGCATAGCCTAAAGAGCCTCTGCGCCTGAATTCAAAAATGGAGTCTGCAATACAACCCGTCTGCTTCCCTTCTTGACAGAGCTAGAGGGGAGTCACTCAAAGTTTCTGCGTCATAACCCTTTACATACCTAAAGCTGTCTCACTGGCCTAGCAGTGCAACTTCTCTAGCTCTTCCTTATGGGAATTCTCTAGTCTTTTGCCAGTTCTGTGGCTTTCTGAGTCCACCTAGAAGTTTCATTATACCTCTTAGCTTCTGGTCAGGAGAGTGCTGAATTGGACACGATTAAGGTGTCACATTCTATTATTTATTTATTTCTGAGTCAAGGTCTCATTCTGTCACCCAGGCTGGAGGGCAGTGGTACAATCATGGCTCACTGCAGCCTTGACCTCCTAGACTCAGATGATCTTTCCACCACCTCAGCTTCCTGAGTAGCTGGGACGATATAGGCAAGCGCCATCACACCCGGCTAAGGTGTCACATTCTAGGAAGGCAGCACAGTTGGACACACTGGCAGTTAGTGAGTGAATGGCTCCTCACTGGCGCCTAAAGAAGTAGATATTCAGAACTTGGGGGCAGCAAATGGCAGGGTGTGGAGTCTTCCCTTTACCAGCACTCTCCTGACAGGCACTCCTAAACGTCTCAGAAAGATAACACTTGTTGGGCATCTACTATACACCAAGCACTGTTCTAGGCACTGTTATTTAGCAGTGAGCAAAAGAGAAAAAAAAATCTCTGTCCTCAAGGAGCTCAAACACTAGAGCTGTATTATCCAAAACAACAGCCACCAGCCAAGCATGGCTACTTCAACTTAAGTGAATTTAAATTACATTAAAATTCAGTTCAGTTATACTAGTCACATTTCAAGTGCTTGACAGCCACACGTGGTTAATAGGTACAATCCTAGAGAGAACAGATCACAGAACTTTCCATCATCACTGAAAGTTCTGCATGTCATGACGGTCCTGAGGTTCTGACAGTCCTGAACCTGCTTTCTGATTCCTCACAGGGTAAAATCTACCCATAGGAACTTTAATATTAACTCTATTGTCTTCTATTCTGATTCTTTTAAAGTCAGGAATATCTAAACATCTTATATAATAATTTTTTTTACCAGAATATATGGAATTTTTTTTTGAGTTAGGGTCTCATTCTGTTGTCCAGTCTGGAGTACAGTGGCACAATCAAGGCTCACTGCAGCCTCGACCTCCTGGGATTAGGAGATCCTTCCACCTCAGCCTACTGAGTAGATGGGACTACAGGGGCATGCCACCATGCCCAGCTACTTTATTTTATTTTATTTCTTGTAGAGACGAGGTCTTGTTATGTTGCCCAGGCTGATCTCGAACTCTGGGGCTCAAGCAACCCTCCCACTTCAGCCTCCCAAAGTGCTGGAATTACAGGCATGAGTGACCGCACCTGGTGGAGAATATATATTTAAATCAGCACACCATGCAGTCAGATGGTGCCAGAAAGCAGACAGTTTGCTATATAAGTGCATAATAGGAAAATCTGAGGGGAATCTCACAGGTTCACAGAGCAGCAGAACAAAAGGTATCTCAGAGGTTACCAAGCCCAGTGGTCTTATTTCACAGAGGTAGAAACTGAAGCCCCGAAAGACTGACTTTCCCAAAGTCATTTAGCTAATGTGAGAGCCAGGCTTAGAATTCACATCTTCTGATTCCCCTGTACGGTGCTCTTTCCACTTCATTCATTCATTACTTTTTTTTTTTTTTTTGAGTTGGAGTCTCACTCTGTCGCCCAGGCTGGAGTGCAGTGACAAGCTCCCAGCCACCACAGCCTCGACCTGCTGGGCTCCGGCAATCCTTCTGCCTCAGCCTTCCAAGTAGTCAAAACTACAGGCGCACGCTACCATGCCCGGCTAATTTTTTACTTTATTTTACTGTAGAGACGAGGGCTCTCCAAGTTGCCCGGGTGGGTCTCGAACCCGCGGGCTCAGACAATCCACTCACCTCAGTCTCCCAAAGTGCTAGGATTACAGGCTGAGCCACCCAGCCTGGCCTCATTCATTCATTAATTTAACACTTATGAAGCCTCTGTCTTGTGCCAAGTGTTAGACATATAAAGATGAATAAGACCTGGCTCCTGCACTCAAGAATTCACGCCTATAACCCCAGCACTTTGGGAGGCTGAAGTGGAAGGATTGCTTGACCCTCAGAGTTTGAGACCAGCCTGGGCAACATAGCAAGACTTCGTCTCTACAAAAAGCTTTTAAAAAAATTAGCCAGGTTTAGTGGCACATGCCTGTAGTTCCAGTTACTTGGGAGGCTGAAGTGGGAGGATCGCCTGAACCCAGGAAGCTGAGGTGAGCCATGACTGTGCCACTGCACTCCAGCCTAGGCAACACAGTGAGATCCTGATTAAAAATAAAAAAAAAAAGAATTTACATCAAGAGAGGAATGTCACGTTCAAACAAACAAACAAAATACAAAAACAAAACTTGGCCACACAGAGTTATTAAAGACGAGATCGCTACTGTGGGCATCACGGATGGCAAGGAAAGAAGGAACAGCTCTGTGTCCCGGGGTGCTGGGGCAGAGAAATTCACCTTCGCCCAGCCTCTCCATAGTTCCTAACCCCATCTTTTCACACCAGATTTGCTTTCTCCCCTATCGGTGCCAGGTAACTGAGCCACAGGAAGAGAGGGAAAGAACTGAAACCACCCCTGTCATCAAGTATGAGACTCTGAGTTAAGCAAGTCGACCACAAGGAACGGCAGCCAAGGAAGGAAAGAGGTCCTGGGAGGAGCAGTGATGGTTACACGGTGTCCTCCATTTACTCCTCCTTCTCCTGTCTCTGCATCTCTTTTGCCGTAATGTCAGAATAACCTGCCCAGTTTAAGGATGAGGCTTCACTCTGGTGCTGACTTGCTCGCTGATGATAATCCTGTGTCAATTCTGAGGACACTCATATCACCAGGTGGTGCAGTGCACCAAGCAGGCAAGTTCTCTCCCCAAAGCCTACTCCCATCCTTGCCCCATTGGTTTTATGGACTCTGACGGTGTTCTTTCAAATTCCCTCTTTCTTTCTTCTTTTTTCAGTCATAGTATCACTC